CCGCCGCCGCCGCCGCCGCCGCCGCCGCCGCCGCCGCCACCCGGCTAAGGCTCTACTTTCTAAAGGTCCCACAACCTTCCAAAGTAGCATCACCAACTGGGGACCCAGTGTTCAAATACATGAGCCTATGGGAGGCATTTAATATTCAAAAGATGATGGCCCAAGCCTGAGGTATCTAAACATAGCTGATACAAAACTGTGACGGGGCCCAAATATATTTGGGGATGAAATAAATGGATGGTGCAATAATCACACATGGGCCAAGACGCCATTCCTATTTCAATCAGAAATAGTTTTGCCAGGGACCAGAGGGGTTTGGGACTGCAGGTAAGTGATCCAGGAGGGAGCTACGATGGGGAGTCCAATTTCTCTGTGGACAGGAACACAAAGCTGGCACAAGATACACCCTACTTGAGCGATGCTGTTACCTCCAGTAACGTGTGTCCTTCCACGGTGGAGGAGAGAGAGCTAACGTGAGAAATTAAAGAGCTATCTGCACACAGCTGAAGTTCAGAAACAGCTTGTTCCCTGTTCCTATCATCCCTGCCCCCCAAGTGGTGACGCAGAGCAGGGAACAGAAAGTCTTTCCCCTGGTCGCTAGTAGAGTGAAGCGTCCTTGTGGCAGGTGACCCAAGGGCTGGGGTTATCCACATACAGCAGGAGTCACATGGAAGATTCAGTGTCTGCTGAGGACCTGGTCCACATTAGTGATGTGTCTTCAATATATCTGCACCTGCTTTTCCTTGGTGACTCTAAATTTTATCCCCTCTCAGGGAACAAAGCCCATAACTGTACAACAAGAGACACTGCGCTGAGTGACACCATCCCCGGGGAAGTTCACACATTAAGTGTTTGCCAAGCTTCACATGTTGGCACATGCTCTCTGGTGCTCAGCTTTTGAGGGGGGATGGAGCAGGAGGGCCCTGGGGAAGGACAGAGTCAGTAGTAGGAGACACACAGTGCAGATAGAAGAGTGATCCAACTTTTGTTCTTCCCCATTTGGGACTGGACACATCCTCCCTGAACTGCTTGCCTTAGAAGCAGGAGACTGGCTGCCTGCCTTACCTTGTTCTCTGCCACGAACACTAGCCAGAGAAAGCAAAGGCTTTGCCTGTCCTTCATGCCAGCTTCTCTCAGCAAAGAGAATAAAACGGCCCACTTACTTTTATCGCTCAAAGGGTTTCCTGGGAAATGGACTATTAGTTCCCCTAATGTAAAGATAATAGGCTTGTCCCCTTTGGCAAATGGCACAGGCCCAGCACAAATGAATTCACAGAACCATCATGAGCCCTCCCAGCAGTCGGCAAATGGAGCAGGAATGAGTGGGACTAGGAGAGGAACTTTGGAGCAGCCTAGACCCCACCCCACCCCCACCTGTGGGCAGTGAGTCTGAGAAGAGCCCATTCAGACCCTTGTAGTCCTTTCTTCTCGCCTTATCGGGCAGGCTAGAGCTGGACACCATCAGCAAAGTGAAGTTGTTTCTAGCCAAGAAATGTCAGAACAATGCTTCCAAACAAGCTTTCCCAGTAGAGGATTCCCAGGCCCTTCCACTCATCTCTCTGCAGCTCCCTGCTAGAAAACACCGCTCCCAACTATACCTACCAGCTTCGCCTCTTGCCTGAGTTGATATCTTTGAGGTGAGTGGATACTATGATACGGGGGGAAAGCCTCAGCATCCTACAGGGAAAGGATGCCAGTCAACATGTTGGTTGGACTAGGCTGAAAGTCAAGGGCGCTATAGACCAAGGGCAGAGTGCTTCCCAGAGAAACAGGACTTCTGCTGGTTCCTTTCCAAGCATCTACCTCCCCATGCCCTCTCCACAGTCTCCATCTCCAGCCCCCAGGACTGAAACTTCTGCAGGAACAGTACTTTGAGGACTTTAGCCAGCAAATGGGGGACCATGGTTCTCAGTGAGCAACCCTGAATTTGTCCCACACACACACAGTACTGGGCTCCTCAGCTCTGGTCTAGAGCTGCGCTCTTAACCCCAGGTAGACAAAAGACCTGCTCTGGCACATTCTGCAAGGCAGAGGCAGCAGGGCATGGAGCCTGTGTTGGCTGTGCTATATTGTTATAACACCTCTTTGCTTTTCCTGGGTACATCTCTAATCTAGGCTATATGCCCCACGAAGGCACAGGGCCTGGTTGGTACCGTTTTGTTTTATTTTGTTTTGTTTCCTCCAAAGGAGTACTGGGCAATGCCAGCCAGGTATCAGGAGTCCATTACTACCTTGATTAGTCAGAGTGTGGCAATGGGCATAGCTCTACTCAGGCTGGCCCCATGAGTGTGCCATGAGTGTGCCATGAGTGTGTCACTTGCAGACCATTTTTCCTGCCTAAGGCTCTGCTTCTTTCCTGCCATTCTGGGACATCATCTGAATTTTGGTGAGCCCCAGGACTGGCCCATGCAATCACTTTCCCTGACTTCTGTCTCTCCTGTCCCATCTCTGAAGCCATGGAAGGACAAACAGGACAGCAGGGACGGCCTCATCAAGAGTTCAAGGGCAGCTGTCAAGCCCTTCCTCTTCTCTATACTGTTGGGGGGTCTGGATGCCATGAGAAGGGACAACAGACTCAACTGTCTTTCTGTTCTGAAGGAGGAGAGGCTCTGTCTAGAGTCATGGAGACTTGCTCTGAGCCACGCTTAGGCAAAACTTCTCCACCCAGAGCTGCCGTGAACTTTGACAGTCTCTATGGGGTCCCTTGGCCCATCCAAAACTCCTGTAGCAGAGATTGATGGTGCTAGAATCATTCTGTGTTTCAGACAGGGACCTACAGGCTAGAGGGCATAGAAGGATCCAGATACCTTCCAACTATATACAGGTTCAATAAGAGGGATGGATGCATCTCCATCAGGAGAAAGTAATGAGAAAAATTGCCTGAGAGCATGAAAGGTTCAGTCCAGGGGAAGTTTAGTGAGCAAAAGAGTGGGATGGGCCAGTTTGCTGATCAGCCTCCTCCTCATCCTCTTCTTCTTCCTTCTCCTCTTTTCCTCCTCCTCCTTCATCGTTTTGTTGGAGCTCTGAGGCGACAGCCCGGGCCTCCTTTTCCTCTGCCAGCTCTTCAAGCTGCTGCTGTGCCAGGAGTTGGCCCACCAACTGCTCCAGGGCCTCCAAGCTCATCCTCTGCAGGCGATCCTCGTGCTCTTGCCTCAACAGCCCCAGCACGGCCTTGGCATCCTTGGGCCCAAAATGTTTGCCTAGGACCTGGCCCAGCTGGAGCCACAGGGGCTGGGTCTGGTGGGTCTGGTCCAGGGCTGCCTCCTCTGGAGGCAGCATGATAACATTGATGGAGGCATTGGGCCCAATGCTGTAATCGGAGAGGTGTTTGTCATCAGCCAGGAGCTGGCCACGGAACAGCAGGTGCTGCTGCTTCTCTGGCACCTGCAGGTGTTGGGAAACCAGCTTCTTCAGTGTGGCCACACTTTCTTTTCCAGATACCTTCAGGCTGCATCTTCGGCCCAAGAGCAGCTTGACCGTGAGGAACATTGGGCCAGAGAGAAATCAGGAGGGATCCATGCTCTGAGAGTTGCCCTGAAGGTAAAGGGCCCTATAGGTGACCCTGTCACGAAAGGGCCACTGCTCCCAGCAGGGCAAGGGCCCAGCCCACACGGACAGCCACTAGCTAATGCACAGTGATGTCACAATGCCGTGGGAGGGCTCATTTCCACAGCAGAACTTTAGGGACAGCAGAGGAACATTGTAGTCATAAAGCATCTTTCCTTCGTGAGGAAAAAGGGGAGAAGAGGTGGTGGTGGTGGGGAGGTGACCAGGAAAGAAAATGTAAAGAGAGCTGAAACAGAGAAAGAGGACTGGAAAGGCACCGTGTCAACAGCATGTCTGCCAATTTTCTCAGCACATGCCTTGGGTACTTTCCGGGTGTTAGCAGGAGAGACCACAGAGACCTAGGAATTCTAGCACTGAAAGACAGTGCAGGACCACTAGTGGTGTCTGTCTTATATCCATAGCCTCAACTTAATCCACGTGACCTACGGGTGCTTTGATAATTCCTACCTGTGGGAGGGGAATTGCAGGCTCATTTAATCCCACAGCGAGAGGCACATAACTGGGTCTTCATGGTGGCCTTGCCTTCCCTCCTAAAACAACCTCTGCTCAGTATCTTCCATGTGCCAGTCACTGAGCAGACTCTGGGCTTCAGAGGCACATGAGGAGCAGGATGCTTGTTGGGCATTTGAGTGTTGCATTCCGCAAGTTTCACTGCAACACGTTGCTTTTCTTGCACCACACCCTTCGCAGGGGTTGTCACGACGTGTTAGCCTGCAAGGATGGCACTGTCTTGGCTGAGAAGCGAGTGAGCTTAGAGGAGAGTTGATGTCCCTAATGGGTGTGCATCAGGGGCTTTCTCGGGTCTCCTTAGCACCCAAGTCCTCCCTTTCCCTCACCTTTCCCCTCCTCCCTCCCTGCCTTACTCCTTTTCCTTCCACCACCCTGACTCTACAGAGGATGATAATGCTGACAGCCACCGCAGCCTTCCTGAGTCTGCCCTTCCACAGTTCCCGACCCCACCCCCTACACCCCACCCCCTGTGCCAAGGTTGCTCAGCCTTCACCCCTGTCTTCTGACCTTGTCATCTAACAGCAGCTGAAAGAAATCCCCGTAAGTACCAGGACTGTCACCTCTGCTCATTCTTCTCCCGCTCCTGTGTTCTCGCTCTTGGCAGGTGACCCAGATTCTGGTCCTGGATGGCCCAGCACTTCCAAGTCGGGAATCCTAGCCAATGAAACTCCTGTTGTTCCTCCTCTTCCTGAAGATTCCTCCAAAGCTCACCTCCCCTCTGGCTCCCACTGCCCCCAGTGACTGAGGCTCTTGCCTCCCTACAGCCACCGCTCCGACTCATTGTCATCCCAATCCAGCTGCCACCTTAGACCCTCTCAGTACACAGCCAAAAGGATGATCCTAAAATTACTGTGAGTCCTCTAAGTTTAATTCTTTTGCTTTTGGAATAAAAACAAGTTTTCCTGGCTGTAGCCAGAAGTTTTCCTGGCTGTAGCCAGAAGTTTTCCTGTGTCCCACCTGGTCCTGTAGCCTTTCGGTCCCAAATAAACACACAGAGGCTTATATTAATTACAAACTGTTTGGCCTATGGCTCAGGCTTATCCTTAACTAGCTCTTACAACTTAATTCAACCTATTTCTATTCATCTGTGTTTTGCCTGTGTTCCATTACATCTTGCTCCCCCATGCCCCACTCCCCGGCAGCGCTCAGCCTTTCTTCTCTTTGTCTCTCTGCTTGGATTCCGCCCCCCCACCGGCTCTATTCTGCCTTGCCATAGACCACAGCAGCTTCTTTATTAACCAATGGTAGTAACACATATTCACAGCATACAGAAAGACCATCCCACAGCACCTGGCGTGGTACCTGAGGTCTTCATGGCCTGGCCTCTAGCTTAGCGTTCCAGCCTCTCCACTTTTCATCCTTCACTCCAGCCACATTAGCCTGCCTTTGTCTCTGCTTGCTTTTGAACTCTACCAACTCATCCTGCAAACTCGGTGTGCCTTAGAATCACCTCCTCCATGAAGCTTTCTCTGCTTTCCCCAGCCTCGGGCAAAGGGAATCCTATATCCATCCCTCTGTGCAGTTAGTCATTACTCCACTAGTTAGTATACCCAGCATAGACATTCCCATCTCTCCCTCTGACTTTCAATAGCAGGGTCTATGTCTCTCCCATCATGATGCCTCCCGTACACCAAGTTTTATATACAGATGGCCTTGTGCACATATTTATTGGTAGAAGAGATTCAACTTAGACATGCTGAGCCATGCAGAGTCATACAGGACCCAAGTACATACATAGGCTATGAAAAGACATAAACTTACCTGTAGCCTCTTCTTCACCCTGCCTATTCCCCTAGAAAGAGGAAAATCCAAAATTATATAGAAAATAAAACAGAAAGTGATATCAGGCTTTACCAGAGGCTCTTCTATAATACTTATGTAAATAGCCAGTTCCCCGGGAGAGTATGAAGGAAGTCTGAATTTGCAAGTGTGCACACAGTGTGGGAGGGGCTGAGGGCTCTAGGGTGGAGATGCAGGCAACCATGCAGATGAAAGGAGGGATGAGCACAGCTACCGAAGGACCATTTAAGAATCCCTTGAGAGGAGGACCCCCTGGTGGACAAACCACTGGATAGACAGGATTGGAGCATCCTATGGGTGATGCCCAAGCAGTACTAACTAACCCACAAAGGCTTCCTGGAGGGTGAGGTCTAAGTGGTCTTTACAGGGCACAGAGGAAGGAAAGGCAGGGAGGGGACTAACTTGTAGTCTGCCCTAACTGCAGGGCTTCTGGAGGGAGTGGGGAGCATCCAGGAGGAAGATGATGTTAGCCGTCTGCCCCCAGCCTCCCTTTGAAAACCGTTTATCCAGGCTTGAGCTGCCCCAGCCATGAGGCATCTCTAGAGATGGCCTCTGGAGTTGGGCTCCCCAAAACGAAGCACATGAAAGCCCTAACACAGTTCTCCAAAGCTAGTGACTGTGTACAGGTAGTTACACCTATGACCGAGGCTGCAGGGGCCACGAGAACAGTAACAAATTGAATTAGTGATGTCCATACACGCTAAGAGAAATGGTCACTCTCCCCTGGAGTCTCTACTGCCTCCCCAAAGAGGACAGAAGAAGCACCTCTCTGGACACTGGGCTTCTATTTGGAGTCAGGAAATATTCCAAGTACCCCACCACCATGCAATTGCTTGTCTTAATTATGCAGTTAACATGAGCAAATAAAATTGTGTAGTCAAAGCATGCAATCAGACAATGATTGTTAGAAGGGAAGATCGTCTGGAATGAGTGGGTTTGTGACTTGGGAAAGGAATCAGTGTGTGCGGAGAATGTTCAGCTTTCTCTTAAAAATACTGCAAAAGGCATTAGCACCATTGGGATGTCCGAGTGCAATGTCTGAGGAGAAGATGGGCAGGGTGGGAGAACACTCCTGGAGATGTCTGAGCATTCAGGTTTCTGGGATCTCCCAGTGCCCTGGGTGGGCTAACTGAACCGTGGTGCAAAGAGATCACAAAATGGGATCTGTTGTCCACCCGCTGCCCTGGGGCCTGCCTTTAGCTGGGTTGGTCTCACCTCTAGACAATAGGAGGATAATCAATTCCCAGCATCCTTCTGAAGTTGCTATGTGAACCCACAGCATCTGACCCACAGAGATATTAAACACAGGATTCAATTTACAGATGGAAATGGGAGTTCCTATTGTTGTTCTGTGACAGGGAGGAAAGAGCCCACTACACCCGGAAATCTGCTCACAGTGACTCCTCACATAGTCCTGTCTGTACAGGCGGGTGGTCAAGGCAGTCTTCTGCAGACTGGCCTAGCTCGGAGGGGAAGATGAGGTGAGTTCATTGACAGCTGAGGGGGCCTGCAGTGTTGTGGAATATTACTTTAACTAGGCAAAGATGTGTTACGTTTGTTTATGCTGCATTTGTTTAACTATGTAAAGATGTGTTGCTTTGTCTGACTAAGGCACCTGATTGGTCTAATAAAAAGCTGGACGGCCAATAGCTAGGGAGTAGAGGGATAGGCAGGGCTGGCAGGCAGAGAATAAATAGGAGGAGAGAGAATGAGAGCACAAGAGAGAGAAGAGAAGAGAAGAGAAGAGAAGAGAAGAGAAGAGAAGAGAAGAGAAGAGAAGAGAAGAGAAGAGAAGAGAAGAGAAGAGAAGAGAAGAGAGAAGGGGAGGGGAGGGGAGGGGAAAGGGAGAGAAAGGGGAGGAGGGAGGGAGAGGGAAAGAAAGAGACAGAGAGAGGGAGGTGGTGGAGAAGTCA